AAAAAAGCCGGCCGGCCGGGTCTATTTAAAAGTTTCATGTTATGAAAACCAAGTAATCAAATTTGTATGGCCTAATAATATCAAACTTAAAAATTAAATAACTACTGTATTTATATAATATTATTTACAAAATCCTCTAATAAAGTACTAGTAGAACTGCCTAAGATGAAAAAAAAAATCTATATTGTACACAATACAGTATATACAGTATAGTATATAGTATATATATAAAAACATGTTTTGTGCCTTATATACAGTAGTCTTACCTCTTTATAATAACACTTTTGAACTTTTTTAAAAAAATGTTCTTGTAAAGAGGTGTGCTTATATAGAGGTCTTTTGTTATATATTAAATAGTAATTGGGCTTAAATATAGGTTTGATTATAAAAAGGCTTTTATATAATGTAATTATATAGGTGGCGATTATAAAGAGATAAGACTGTATACTATAGTCAAACTCCTTTATATATGCAACCCCTTGGTGTGTGAATTATATTGAGAGTAATTTTATAATATATATATAGTTATTGGATGCGAAGTAGCCAATAAGTGTTATTATTAGTTGGTAGGGTGAAGTTATAGAGGGTGTGCATTTATAGAGCATGCATATATAGAGGTTTGACTGTATTTAAATAATTTTTTAAAAAATAAATAATAAACCCAGTGACTAAAAAACCATCTGCGCAATGATGTAAGGTATAGTTTTGCTACTTAAACGAGAGAAATCAAACATGGTATATATAAGGGAGGCTAAAGAAGATCCATCCGACATGTTATCATTTAAAGTCAAGAATTTTTTCAGGTTTAATCTTAGAAAATCATTAATAACAAACGCGCCGTAATATTTACTACTTCTTGGATCATATCTACATTTCGAAACATTGACCCCAAACTTGATTAATTATAATTGAATAAAATTTGGTATACTTTAATTAGAAAAATGGGATATATGGGACAATTATTTTAAAGTTACAATGTCTTACACTGTCCGATGCTCCTGCACAAGAATTATTGAGGTTTGAGAAAATACTTGATTTAAGGATGTGATTATTATTTTTCAATCGCAATGTTTTCCATATGGCATTTTCTTTTTTTTTTCGTTCTGATTATCACAAAGGCTGTACATTATCAATCCCAGTTCTATCAATTATTTCTTAATGATTTAAATCATATTTACATTTTTAAAAAAAAGAACAAAATAAAAACAAAAAAAAATTCAGTATTAGAATAAATATATAAATCGTTAATTAGTATAAAGCAATATGGTGTAAAAAAAATTTTTTTCTCATATTAATAAGTATTAAAAAAGTTATTTCATTTTCTTGGCAAGTAAAATTCCTAAATTCTAACGGTTAATTAAAACCTGACAATTAAAATGTATAGGCTCTTTTAAAAGAATCCCACGAAAATACAATCGAAATATATAACACTATTTTGTTAAAGCATTACTAATATATATACTGTATATATTTCAAATGTTATAGTACGGGTTACTTAACCAAAAATTCGTATATATTTCCTGATCAAAGTTTACATGCCACATAAAAGTATAATTTAAAAAGTCCAACAGTAAAATTAGGTAGTAAATTATTAGTAAATGTCTTTGTTTGAATCAATTCTGGAATCCGCGAATTAAGCAATTCAGCATGTCCATCCGTTATTTTGACTTTATTATTTTGACATCTTTGTCACTTGCGCATACATCTGTAAAGCACGAACAATATGGTCTGGATCAAGTGCAAGTGCATCCCCGAGTTCTTCGAGAACACGAGCATACTTTCCAACTTTATTAAGATATAAAGTTGATATCGCATTCTAAAAGATTAAAGGAAAAATATATTAATATTGATATAATTGATCGACTACATCGCATAATAACAAATACAGTACATATATACCTCAATCCTTGTAATCAGGCTCTCCATTATTTTCATTAACTCTTCATCATCCGCATTATCCTTGACATGGAACGTTAACAATCCTGCCATATGATCTGTTTTTGAATTTCGAGAAGTACGATGGCTTACATTTCCGGATACCACACGTTCAAGACGAAGACAAAGATATCCAAGAGTGCGTACACATGATGGATCAACTAATTGTGTGGTTGCAATAGGTTCATATTTCTTTATTATGAAGAAAGAGGGAATGGTAAAGGTCAGCTTTTAAAACAATATATAAAGGGATAAGATGTAACAAAATATTTACTTCTGGAACTTTTATGGAATTCCTGGCTTTCATTTTTTGATCTTCATCCATTCTACCCTTAAGCTTTACCGGATAAACCTATGACAAAAAATATTCTTAATAATACTGAATAGATAAGTGTGCTTCATTAATTTTCATTGAAATTCAACCACTTACTAACGACAGTATTTCGGCATTTTCTAATCCTTTAAGCTTTTTTTCACCGAGTGCCTTTATAACAAATCCCATTTTCTTCAAAACAATCACATTCTTATCCAACCTATCATTAGATGACTCCTGCACTTCTTCATCTCCCCCAATGCTACCTTTCCTATCTGAATCTTGTCCACCTACATACCTATAAATGCCAATTTGTGATTCTACTTCAGAACTCACACAAATTTGCCCACCATCTGCCGCACTACAGATTCTTGCAGCTCTATTAACCACAGGTCCGAAATAGTCCATTCGTTTCGTTACTATATCCGTTTCAAAATCTGGACTACCACAATGTATACCCATTCGAACTGATAAACCTTTATATATCAATTCATTGTCATGCCCACCAAAAACCTCTTTTCCATCTTCTGATTCAATGATCTCTTGTGGCCAGTCAACTTTTAAAAGTTCAATTTGTACGGTGAGACACCATAAGAGAGCTGACGCTACCGTTGGAAAAGATACCATGAAAGCATCTCCTTCAGTTTTTACTTCATAACCACCAATATTGCGTAGAAGGCGGCGCATGACATCATTATGAGATTTAATCGCAGAACGCATTGCGTTTGGTATTGTTTCCCAAAGAAATGTAGAGTTCTTTATATCAGTAAAAACCAATGCTACTTGTCCTGTTGGTGGTGAAATTTCTGCTTCTAACCGTGCCATAATATTATCACTCGGTATTTCATCTCTTCTTCTTCTGTAATCCAAAAATTTTATTGAACCTTCACCTTTTCTTTCTCTTATCACAGAGTAACGACGGTCAAACAAATCTCCAACCCCTATAATCATTACCATGATATTTTTATTGGCACCATAAGAAATAGCGAAATCTCGCAACTTTTGAGCAGCTAACATGAGATTATTTTTCTCAGTCCTAGCTATATCTACTGCAAGTTGGTAACTTATATAATTCCATAATTCTCGTGTAGCAAGAATTAAAAGTTCATCCTGTTCAGAGAGTTGAACTACCTCCGTTACAGGATTAGCATTGATAATTGGCGTTAAATGAAAATGACCAAATGATCGAGATACATCCAGTTCTCCATTAACAAGGCAATCATGCGAAATATATCCTCCAGCTTTCTTTATCCTTTCAATTTCGCTAAAAACTTCTGGACATTGCGCAACCGGATATGCCTCTTTTCCACGACTGATAACTGCTACAGTATCCCCAACATTTGCAATATATAATTTTGTTCCAGAAATATAAGCAACTAATCCGGAGGCACCAGACTTATTGTCATCAATACCTAGGGAAGAGTTATGATACCCACTTTCCGTATCTCTAGAATAAAGGTCCGTTTCTATACTTGAATTGAAGACCTTTGAACCGAGTTCTTTATTTAAACTCAAAAAAGATCGTCGTAAAGCAGATTCTACTGAATCATCTTTTAATTTTTCGAGCTCAGTTTTGAAATGGAATAAAAACCAATCGTGTAAATACTTAGTAACTCGACCACCTTGACTGGAGCCAGCACGAGCATCAAAAAGCCCAAAAATGCACTCGTCTTCATGTCCACGAAATTTTGGCTGTACAGCCTCCCATGTTGAAAGATTATCTGACTTTCCTAGAGTATCTGCCATACCATATCGCATAGAATTTACTAATGAGACTGATGTTCGCACACGACGATCATCTGTTTCTTCAGGAACTGAAAAATTTAAAAGTGTAATGTCCATGAGACCAAGAACTCTCAATGCAGTAAGCATTCTAAAGTCCGCTAAATTTCTATCTCGGAGAGGATTGATTTCATTTTGATGCACATGTTTAATCTCGAATCTTTTGTTACCCGAGAGATTAAGATATTTAAGTTCAATATTCCAGTTCCAATTCCAATCATATTGCCAATTCGCGATATTATATTTTAAGAAATTATTCCCTACATCGAGAACCACCAATTTTCTTATTTTACTCAATTCTGCAGGCAATGTTGTCAATCTGTTGCCGTTTACATGTAGAACACTCAAATTAGTTAACTTGTCTATGTCTTCTGGAAGCGATGACAATTGATTCCCGGAAAGATACAATTCCGTTAAATGAGGATTAGAAATTCCTGGAGGAATTTGATCCAACATATTGAATGAGATATTCAAAATTTCGAGTTTCGAAAATAAAGAAATATAAGGAAATATTTCAGCAGTAATACGGTTATCGCCTAAATATAGGACGCGAAGTGAACTAATAAGAGGACTCTCGGTTGGCAAATTGGTTGAAGTGGTTGGAGGCGCTGGGAATAGCTCTAATAAATTTGAGCTAACATTTAAAATAGCTAAACTTTTACAAAGCCAAATTTCTTGTGGTAGAGAAACGATATTGTTGAAATGAATGTCCAATTCATATAAAGAGTCTAAACTACTAATTTCATTTGGCAATGTGCGAAGAGTATTATATATACATGTTAAGTGTGTTAAATTCTTCAACATCCCAATTGTTGTCGGAATCGATGTTAACTGATTATAACTAATGTCAAGCGTTTGAACAGATTCAAGGTGTTCAAACAGCTCATTTGGTAATGCAACAAGTTTAGCATTTGCCAATGAAAGTTCTTTTAATGAAGGACCTGTTTCCTTTAACGAGAATTGAGTAAGTTGATTTTTGGTTAGAATAAGTTTTTGTAATGATCTTGAAGATATGTCTACTGTTGATATGTTGTTAAATTCGGTCAGAAGGATTTCAAGGTTAGGAATTAAAGATATCGTGCAGAGGTTCGTTATTTTATTTCGACGTATATCCAATTCTTGCAAAGAAGTTAAATTCTGAAAATTTTCAGGTAATTTTTTATCCGTTATTTGATTTCCAATGAGGAACAACTTTTTAAGGTTTTTAAGTTTTCCGACTTCTTCTGGTATGGAAGTTATTTTGTTATAACTCAAATCCAGTTCTGAAAGCGTCACGATATCGCAAATAACTTGAGGAAATTCTTTGAACGAATTGTTGGCAACATTCAAGATACTTAGTTTGGTAGACGCTGCAAATTTCTTGGGTAATGTTTCTAACAAATTGTTTTCAACCTGAAGATTTGTTAGCTCTCCAATCATTTCCAATGATCCAGGTTCCAAGTCTTTCAAACGGTTTGTATTTATATTAAGAAAAGAAAGCATTTCTGACTGTTTAATTGATTGTGGAACACGTTCTAGGTCATTTTGTGAAAGGTTGAGCTCACGTAATTGTGCACAAGATTGTATAAAATCCATAGGAAGGTCGAGCATTAAATTTTGAGAAACATTTAAAGATCGAATATTTAAAGCTTGCCGATAAAGAAATATAGGTATTGTTTGTAAATTGCGAGATTGAAGATCCACTATTTGGAAATTAGATAAGTTTCCTTCTTCCTGATAAGTTTAGAATAAAAATAGTAATTAATCGATAAATTAATTTATTTTTATTATTAAAAAATTTTAAGGGTTAATTAAGCATACTTCAAATCTTGGTACAGTAGTTTCACGGAAGGTAAACCGAACCAAATAGCTATTATCCTCTCTGCCAAGATCTTCCAAATTATCATTTACAGTATATCCCGCTTGTTCTAACCATTTCTTTTGTAATTGCAATGGTCGTTCATGAGATCCTAGCACACGTTCTTAATAAGACAGAAAAAGAATAATTAGTAATGTAATGTCAATAATTTATCAAAATGATAGTATTCTAATTTACCTAAGTTGTGCCTCATCACGTATAAATTATATTTTGAAACATCCTGAATAAAAAATTTTTTACCAAGAATTTGCAATAATTCGGAAGTAGTAGTGTTCAATCCACAATTTACTGTACCGAAAGTGGCATCAGGACGAAATATACGAATGCAAAACTTTTTTGCATAAAAAAAAATATATAAATATATAAATTAATTAGATATTAACATTTTATTATATAGAGATGTAATGTAATATGCATACTAATCGTTTCCAATCATCCTTATCTTCAACATTAAGGCTATCACGAGCACCCTTTTCTATCGAAGTTTCATGATTGTTAGGAAAATTTACTGCCCATGAATCAGGAGCCGTCCAAATTTCTGCTTTATTCGGTGGAAATTGGGTCCTTTCTATAGCCGGGTTTTCTTGTAACAAGTAGTCATCAAACGATTTATAAGAAGGTACACCTGAGTGTCGATTTTCAGTTTTTATGATATCTTTCATGTCATTCAAGGTAATGTTACTACCTAAAAGTAATTAGGAGATAATTAGAATAGTTGTAAAAATTGTTCTTTTCAAACAAATAAATAGATTAATGTAATTACAGTTTAATATGTCATATGCAGCAGTTTCCTTAAAAAAATAAAGTAATAGAATTATTTTAGATTTTATGATTTCTAATCAATTTAAACACAATATTTGCTTTAAATAAAAACACGCTTTTTTATACACAAATTTTATTTATACAAAAACAGGTTAAGAATACCTTCTGCTTTTTCCCTGATTTATGTTCCTTTTTGAGCTTCATGCCCCAATGATAGTGATCATTCTTAGATGACAGATGATCGTCTCTCTGGTCGTGAGGTGTAAGGAAATTCGGATGTGACTCCGTACTTGAATTTTTACGAGATACTCCTGCAAATTATTTAATTGGAATTTTAATTTTTATAAATAAATATATATATAATTTTGACAAAATATATGCGTGCATGAAAAGCTATATGCGCGTGAAAACATGAAACATTGAAAAAATTATTATATACGCGCAAGATGTGTAGGTATTATGGATATGTATGCGCATGAATAAAGAGATCACTCACGGATCGGACAAACAAACCTTCAGGTGTGGGTGACTCTTTATCTTTGGAGCCTTTCCTGAAAAGATTAAATAAAGTCTTTTTCTTTTCTTTTTCTTCCTTAACAGGTGTATTACTATGAGTGATGTTACTGGCAGAAGAAGATATCACACTAATTGAGTCGCTATCTGAACTCTTTGTTCGTCGGTGTTTAGAGAAATATGAGTCAGAATTAGTATACGAAGTTATAGTTGAACCTTTTTCACTTTCATCATGCTGATCAATTTGATACATAAATGGGGCAATTTCTGGAGGGGGGAAATATCGAGCATTCATATCAGGCTGAATGTAATCAAAAGACTTTCTTCTTGGTTCGTCTTCGCCAGGTACTGTTAGAGCGGCTTTTAAGTTACCAGCCGAAAGCTTACGTGTATGACCAGCTTTCCCTTTAGATCTGGCTGGTAAGTTATTCATTGACTGAGGTCCAGATTCATGACTTGGTGAAGAAGGTCGAGAGCTTGACCCAAAAAACAAAGAAAAAAAAGAGTCTTGTTTTTCTTCACGGGATTTTTTTCTTTTATTATAGCCTGCACCAGTGAGCGAATGACCTGGTGGAGTAGGTGCACGAAGCGGTAAAGGTGGTGTGACGTCCAATTCTGAAGATCGTCGAGGGGTCATAGATATTGTAAACTACATACAAACGACAAGAAGTACATTTAATTTTTTTAATTTCTCAATGGATGATTCGTTTTGCCTAAACAAACTGTGAAACACAAAAATGTATTACAACTTCAAATATGGTTTAGTGAATCAATTATTTTTATGAATATCTTCAGATTGACATAACTAAAGTTTTTATTGGCTGTGTTTGCTTGTTTGTTATCTCTGTTATAAACTTTTTTTTCTCGTACGTACGTACGTATGTATGTACTTATCTGGTACTTATCTGTGCTTACAATTGGCCTATACCCATAATAAAACTGATTTTTAGCCTGTCAAAATCGGCTGGTCGGCCTTGTACTGGGAATTGCCTTAAGTCATTTATCAAACTTAGTAAACGAACATATTTAAAAATGACTGGTAATTTTTAGCTTACTAAACTCTAAATAAAAAACTTTATTAAAATTGGGTTGTTAAATGACTAGCAAATTTAAATATTTATAAAATCTACAGTTCCGGAAGGTTATTTTTTCCAACAGTTTCTAATTTTTAAAGTCGATAAAATTTTTCGTTAATTACAGTATTATATATATAATCTAACCAGCTAGTGCGCTACATTAATTTTTTTAAACACATAGTTTGGTTTAGCTTATGAATTTAAAAAATCCAAAAAAAAATTTTAATAGCTAAAGTTGATTTAAAATATTAAAATTTACTTATTATTGTTTTTATTATTATTAAAACTAATTTTAGATTTTATAAAAATTTTTAGGTTTAGTTTTTTTTTTGTTGTTAAGATTTATTATAATACTATAATACTGTATTATAGTAAAAGTACAACTAGCTATATATACAACTTTAGATTGTTTATTTAAATAATTTATTTAAATGTTTTATACTTATTACTCTACAGTATTTATTTATTTTTTGGTATTAAGATAACCTCTATAGTCAATGGTAATATTACAATTACAATAAAAGTATATCAAGTTATATGTGCACTTTTGATGTCTAATTTAAGTAGTTCACCTGAAGCATTAGTGCTATACTAAAGGTTCTACACTATTTGCTGTACTTATACCCAGTGTTGTACATGGGATGTGTCTATACTATGTCCAAAATTGTTTAAAATTGTCCAAAATCATCCAAGCCTATGCCCCAAGTTTAAATAATCAATAAAGTAATTTTAAAAAATATATAATTATATATTTTTTTAGGTACTGGACTCATTTATGAAAAATTAAAATAGATTATTTTAATAAAATTTTGAGTAATTTTAATTTGAAAAAATGTTCTATGTACAATTCTGCTTACACCCTAATTATGAGAGTGTTCATTTAAACTCTCTAATTACAACCACTTATTGTACTCATATCTAACCAAGAGGTAACTCATCTATTCATATATAGAATTTTGCAATATCTATAGATTTCATATCCAGCCTTAGAACTTACTAACTTAAGCTAGTCTATTCATGAAATAAATCTAACAAAGTAGTTTATATTCTATATATGTTTTTACTTGCATGCTTAGTAAATTCTTCTTAACTAGTATCTGTTGTGCTACTATTACTGAGTTTGTATCCTAAACTATCTTTTAAAATACTATTATAATCTGATTTATTTCTTAAGCCACAATCTTTCTAATTAGTCATCTATTATTTACTTCTGCTTTTGTAAAGTTTACAACAATTCTGATATTTATATTTAGTCCATCTTTTTACCTGAATTCTTTATTAGCTTCTTTTTTATTTCTAGCTAGCAATCTGAAAGAATTATTTTGTCTAGGCTTTAGATACCTTATAGTCTTTTTTCTCTTGGTATATATTTTCAGAATATATATTCTTTTTCTCTGGTGTATCTAAATCTAGCAGTTTAGCTAATATATTCTCTTATTTAAAAATCTTGTTATTTGGTTCTCTGATCTTGGTTCTTAGTTTGAATTTAGCTTTCTTGTAATACTATTAAAGATCATTGCTATATTCTAATTTAGAACTTCTTAAAAAACAAGTTTTTAGTTATTCTAGTTTTTTAGATTTATTGTGCCAAAACTTTAATTACTAGATAGTGTAATCAAGATTACAGATTTAATTTTAGATTTAACTAATAATCGATAGCTATTAACTATAACACTGACCTATTTTTCAAAATTGTTATCTGTAGAATTAAACTCTAGACCTGCTGCTTGAAGAAAGTAATAACTAGACTAAAGCTCCTATCAAGTTTGAGTTTGATTTGATTTTCAAATCAAACTCAAGTTTTTTTAAAAATTAAGTCTGATTTGAGTTTAAGTTTAAACTTTTTAGTTAAATTTAATTTAATTTGAATTTGATTTCAAAATTTGTTAAACTATTTAAGTTTGAATTATATATATATAAATTTATATATTAAATTAAATTTATATAGAATAAAATTTTAAAAATTATAGCATGGATATAATAATATAGTAAAGTGATAAAGTTGTCGCACTCCAAGCTAGCTTAACTAAGGTATCAAGTTTGAATTTCACTAGTGATGTTTCAGTCAAAACTATTTGTATTATAGTAATAGATATTCATTAATAAGTTGGGTTATATTATCTGTAATTCTAGTTACACCAGTACTAGCGATATACTGGAAGATTCTAGAAGTATCTGAAATAATATAAGTTATATTGTAATATAGTAGACTTTGGTGGTAGTAAACTATATTACTTGACTTAGTATCAAGAGAGTAAGAAATGTGAATAACATGAAATAAACACTAAAAGAAACTAAAGATAAGAAAGACCAAAAGAGCTAAAAGTAAAAAAAATATATATCAAGTGTGTGTGTATAAACTAATAGAAATAACTAAAGAAAAATATAAAGAAACTAAAAATAAAAGGACAATAAAAAGACAATAATTCTACTATAAAAGAAGATACCAGAATATAAAACATGTATAAAGTAAGTATTTCACAAGATAATATCAGTTTATTAGATAAAAAGAAGAAAGTACAGGAGACCAAGTCTAAGTTTCAGTCTTAGGCAAAAAGACCGGGTTTATATATCTTTTACAATCCTAATAAATTACTAATTATAGTTCGTATTATTGTACTATTGTGTCAAAGAGACTTGACAAAAAGACTTGTCAAAGAAACTTGCCAAAGAGACTTGTCAAAGAGACTTGTCAAAGATACTAGCTAATGAAACTAACTAAAAAGACTAACCAACAAAACTAGCTAAAGAGACTAGCCAAAGAGACTAGCCAACGAGACTTAATTACTCGTTAACTATTGGTTTAAATGAAAAACTATAAAAACTATACTAATAAAACTAATACTAAGGATTATATTAGTTAAATAAAATTTGTATTACACTTAATAGTTATATATAGATAAATAATAGAAATTTTAAAGTGCTAATATAATACTAATATAACACTACTCCCTCCTTTGAAAATTTTGCTCCGCAAAATTAAAGAAGTTAGTAAGTAGTTACAAATAAAAAAATAACTAAATAAGTATAATAATGATAAAATAAACAATACTAGTAGTAATAATAATAAAATAAGAAAAATAAAATATAAAATAAACAAAATTCAAATGTTCTACTGTGGCTAGTATTGTCGCTAGAGTGCACCTAGTATGACAAGCTACTAATGAGATTCGAACACACAGCCCTGCAGTGCCATACGCTCCACCCACTATACCACAGTATTGTGTATATAATGAAAATCTTTTTCGTACTCCTTTTGAAGATCTAAAGATTGTCTAATAATATTGTTTAATTTGTCTTTGTAGATTTGATAATCTTTTTGAATATAAGTTGGGCTATATGTCACACTACATACACTTGTCGCTTTCATCTAAATTTTCTTTGCTTTTTTTTTGAAAAATTCTTCGTTTAAAAATGACTAAACATTCTTATACTCGGGCCTACCTTAAACGCTATTATTATCATATTAGAAATAATAGTAACAATAATAATAATAACAATAATAATAATAATAATAACACTGATAAAAGTAATGACAACAATAATAATAATATTATTATTAATAATAATATTAATGATAAATAATAATAATAATAATAATAATAAAGAAATTATTGTTATTTCTGATAATGAAGTAACTAATGAAAAAGAAGTTCAAGAAAAAGCAACTACCGCAGAAGTTGTTCAAGAAGAAGCAACTACTACAGAAGTTGTTCAACCAGAAGAAGTTACTTATCTCTATGTACTTGAAGGTTTAGGTTTTACCAAAGAACAATGGTATAATGATAATAGAATTAATAATAATAATAATAATAGAAGTAATAATAATTTTTTTTTTTTTTTTTTTTATAAGTTTCTAACAAGAATATCGAATTTTTGCTCGTGAGTTGATATCTGTTCAAGAACAACTTGATTTGGCAAAAAGATTAAGTCAAGATACTTTAGAATCTCGTTTGGTGTTGAAGAAACACAGGATCATTAATAGGATTGAGGCTATGAAGAAATATTGTTTTTATAAAGATTATCAAGTTTTTGAGCATAGAGAACCATAATCTATATATTTTGTAATTCTTTTTCTTCTTTAATAAAATTCAATTTTTTAATTATTCAAATTGTTCCAGTATTAATTTTCCAAAGTCCGTAATATACACTTCAACTGAGTTATATAATTTACTAAGTCCATATTTATAAAATAGAGTGTAAATTCTTGTTGCTTGAATTTGTAATCTATTAGCACCAGATTTCTTAAACTTTTCTAACAAAATTCTATTGAATTTTGTCATTAACCAATTATTATGACTATTATTGACAAAGAGCTTTCCTAGATAATATACTATTTCTAATCATGAAATACGTTTGCGATTATTTTTCTTAATCTTGATATAGGCTCTAATGATTCCATTAAAAGTATCTAATTCATCATTCCTATCAAAAGGAGAAATAGGTATGTCATTTTCTTCTGAATTTCGATTCAAATCTCTAGAAATTTTAACAAATGGAGAGTTATCTTCGTTAAGAGTTGAATTTTCATTATCAAATTGAACTATTTGATTTGTTTTCAAATTATCATCTTCGAGATTAAATCTTCCTTCTCTAGATTCGTTTTCAGAAGGTTCTTCAATATTATATTCTTTATTCAATAATATATTATTTTGGGAATCTAAAGAATTATAATCAAGGTTTATAATAGTTTCTTGATGAAATGTATCCTATTCTTCATAATTAATAAACTCATTAAAGAAGTCAAATTCTAGAGGGCTTGTAAAAGAACATTCAAGAATCTCATTGATTGAGGTTTCAACTATAGCTTCATTATTTTTTACGAAAATAATTTTTTCTTGATCAATCTTTAAGTATTTGCTATTGTTATATTCTTGTTTCCATTCATTCAAGAATCGTTGTAATCCTTGTAATGCTTCAATAAAGAATTGATTAAGAAACATATTGTCAAAAACTTGTAATTCCATTTTAAATAAAGAAGTTTAAGAATAAAAAAATATAAAAAGTTATATAAAAATAAGGCAAAAATAAATTGGCGACCCATCACACTGCGACCCTTATATGATCGGCCAATCATTTTTGAGATTGGCAAGTAAATTAATTTTTTTTTTTAGATTAGATTGTTTTTATACTTTTTTTTATTGAGAAGTAAATCAGTGCCAAGTAAATGTGCAAGCAACATTTCAGGTAATATATTTGATTTTTTTTGCTTTTTTTTTTATTATTTTTTTCTTTTTTTTTTGTCTTGTCTACTAACTCTGTTTTTCTTTGGTTTTTAGACTTCTCCGAACATAAATCGGTACTGAGCGAACGTTAAGCAGCTTTTTGGGTATGTTATTTTATTTTTTTTGCTGTTATTTTTTTTTTTTTTTGGTAATTTGTTTGTTTTACTAATCTTTTCCTTCTTGTTAGCTTCGCCAGACTGAATCAGCACTAGGGTGTCTGGCACACCAAAAAAATTTGGCATGCCACAGAGCATGCCTTTTGTTAAAATTTGTGACATGGCATGCCAAAAGGCATGCCATAAAATATTATATATTATTTATAATATATATATACTATATATATGGTTTGGGTATTGTAAGTATAATTTTTATACTATACCCAGTGGCATGCCTTTGCCACTATGCCAGACACCCTAATCAGCACTGGCAACCGTGTGCATGGCATTTTCAGTTTTTTTTTATTTGTGCTTTATTAGCATTGTTAGCTTTGTTACCAACTTTGTTTCTTTTTCTTGGGGGGTTTTTAGGCTTTGCCGGATATAGATTAGCACCGCGGTATTTCCGGGTAAGTTATTTAATTTTCTTTTTGTTTTTTGTTTTTTTTTTGTCTTATCTTTGTTACCAATTTCGCTCCTCTTTCTTCAGGTTCTTAGACATGAATCAGCACTGGAAAAATATGTATGCGGCATTTTTGATAAGATATTTAATTTTCTTTGTCAATTTCTTTTTTTGTCTTGTTAGCCTTGTTACTAACTTCGCTTCTTTTTCTTTGGGTTCTTAGGCTTTACCGGACGTGAATCAGTACCAGAAAAATGTTATGCAGTATTTTTGAGTAAGGTATTTGATTTTTTTCTTTCTTCAGGTTCTTAGGCTTTGCCGGATGTGAATCAGCACCGAGAAAATATGTCTGCGAAATTTTTGGATAAGGAATTTAATTTTCTTCTTTGATTTTTAGTTTTTTTTTTGTCTTGTTATCCTTGTTACTAACTTTGCTCCTCTTTCTTCGGGTTCTTAGGCTTCACCAGACATGAATCAGCACTGGGAAAACGTGTATGCGGTATTTTTGAGTAAGGTATTTGATTTTCTTCTTTCTTCGGGTTCTTAGGCTTTGCCGGATGTAAATCAGCACTGGGAAAATGTGCTTGCGGAATTTTGAGTAAGGAATTTAATTTTCTTCTTTGATTTTCAGTTTTTTTTTTGTCTTGTTATCCTTGTTACTAACTTCGCTCCTCTTTCTCCGGGTTCTTAGGCTTCGCCGGATGTGAATCAGCACCGGGAAAACGTGCATACGAAATTTTTGAGTATGGTATTTAATTTTCTTTTTTGTTTTTTAGTTTTTTTTTTGTCTTGTTATCCTTGTTACTAACTTCGCTCCTCTTTTTTTGAGTTCTTAGACTTCGCCAGATGTAAATCAGCACCGGGAAAACGTGTATGTAGTATTTTTGAGTAAGGTATTTGATTTTCTTCTTTCTTCGGGTTCTTAGACTTTGCCGGACGTGAATCAGTACCTGAAAACGTGCCTGCAGAATTTTTGGATAAGAAATTTAATTTTCTTCTTTGATTTTCAGTTTTTTTTTTGTCTTGTTATCCTTGTTACTAACTTCGCTCCTCTTTCTTCAGGTTCTTAGGCTTCGCTGGACGTGAATCAGCACCGGGAAAACATGCATGCGAAATTTTTGGATAAGGTATTTAATTTTTTTTTTTTGTTTTTCAGTTTTTTTTTTTGTCTTGTTATCCTTGTTACTAACTTTGCTCCTCTTTCTTCGGGTTCTTAGGCTTCGCCAGATGTGAATTAGTACTGGAAAAATGTGCATGCAGAATTTTTGAGTAAAGTATTTAATTTTCTTCTTTGATTTTCAGTTTTTTTTTTTTGTCTTGTTATCCTTATTACTAACTTCACTCCTCTTTTTTCGGGTTCTTAGGCTTTGCCAGACATGAATCAGTACTAGGAAAACGTGCATGCGAAATTTTTGAATAAGATATTTAATTTTCTTCTTTGTTTATTATTTTTTTGTTTTTTTATCATTGTTACTAACTTCGCTCCTTTTTCTTTGGGTTCTTAGGCTTCGCCAGACATGAATTAGCACCGAGAAAATGTTATGTGACATTTTTGGGTAAGGTATTTAATTTTCTTTGTCTTTCATTTTTTTTTTTTTTTGTCTTGTATCCTTGTTACTAACTTGGCTCCTCTTTCTTCGGGTTTTTAAGCTTCACTGGATGTGAATCAGTATTGGGAAATGTGCATGCAGCATTTTTGGATAAGGTATTTAATTTTCTTTAGTTTTTTTTTTGTCTTGTTACTAACTTCGATTTTCTTTCTTGGGGTTTTTAGGCTTCGCTAGACTTTTGTCGCTAAACTTTTCATGTTAGGTTTTTGTTTCTAGTTTTTCGTGACGTTGGAACTTGCGTTGCCATCAACGCTTCCATTTTGTGAATTTTGTTTGGGTTGCTTTTTAAATAAAGTGGATGGGTTTTTAAACGAAGTTTATACAATCGAAACATAATGAATCTTTTGTTGCGCAATGATATTCGTATTATGTTAGTTTTGTAGTTAGTTTTTTTTTTTTTATGTATTTTGTATTTTTTTTAAAAAAAAAAAAAACTTAAAAATTTTTTAATAAAAAAATTATGTAATTCACATGATCGATTTTGATTGGTCGATTACAGAGTCGCCATGGTAACAGGTTGCTAAAAAATAAAGCCCTAAAAATAAAATAAAAATTATAAAATTTTTAAATAATAGAAATTTTTAAAGATTTGAAAATTTAAGAGATTTTGATGACTAAAAGGTATATTTATAAAAGTTAAGGTTATACAATCTATTAATTTGTGTTATTATTTTGTGTGATAACAATTTGAGGTACAGGGAGATCTTTAATTTCTTTATTATAATACAATTTTAATCTGTCTCCATGTACAGGATCTTTTACTTTTTTGCCATCGAAGGTTCGTAGTTTATAAACTCCAAATTTTAATACATCATGAATGATGTAAGGACTCATAAATTGTTCTTCTAGTTTTGCTGAAAAGATATTTTTAAGATGAGATCTAGCTACTAATACTTTATCTTCAATTTTTAAAGTATTATGTTTGAGATTTTTATAATAATATTCTTTCTGACTGTGTTGTGTTTCTTGTATATTTTGTATAGCTTTTTGTTGTTTTACCAATAAATCTTCTATTTCAAACACTCTTTTTAGCAGTGTTTCTTGGAATGACATATCTTTATCATAATAAGTTTCGATAATAGTTTTAATTAGCAATTTGGCTTCACATCTATATATTAAAGAAAATGGAGTAAATTTAGTAGTTCCATGCTCCATTGTTCAATAAGCTAATAATACAGAAGGAAGGATTTCATTCCATCCTTTGTATTTATAGCTTGTAATTTTTGCTAGAGCTTCACCAATTGTTTGATTAAATCTTTCTATTATTCTATTGGTTTGAGGTCGATATGCTGAAGATTTATGATGTTTAATTTAAAATTTTTGGCACAATTCTTTTACAATCTCACTCATAAAATTCTTTCCTCGATCAGAAAGTAATATTTCTAAAGTTCTATGTCTACAAATAATGTCTTCGTAAATAAAATTAGCAACAGCAGTAGCTTTTATATCTGATATAGCTTTTGCTTCAGGCTACTTTGTTAAATAATCCATAGCAACAATAATATATCTATTGCCATGTATTGTTATTGGCAATGGTCCTTTTATATCTATTCCAATTCTATGAAATAGATATTTTACTTCTAATGGTTGTAAGGTTTGGTGTTTGACTTCATGTCCTCTTCTTTGACAAATATCATATGTTTGTATATAATTTTTAATGTTTTCATACATTCCAGGCCAATAAAATCTTTTCTTTATTTTGTTATAAGTAGATTCAATACTCAAATGTACTCCTTGTTCGTCATGTAAAGAATATAGAATGGTTGGCTTTTGAAATAGTTTAATTACTTTTTGCAGCTTTTTAATATAAAATATTATTTTTTACAAAATATTTCTTGGTTTCTTTTTGTAAACGAGATTTTTCCATATTAGAGGCGTCTGTAAAATATATGAGATAAGTAAGATAGTTTAATAATTGATTATAATCTTTATTATCTATTATCTTTGTAAAATTCTGGTAAGCAAGAGAAAAAATCTGTATTTTGGTTTCGGCTACTAGCATGATATTTAATATTATACTGATATTCTTGTAAAGTGAGTCTCCATCTTGTAATCCATTTATTATCGTTAATGGTAGTAGAGTTTAAAAGCCATTGTAAAGCCTTGTGATCAGTAATTAGAGTAAATCTCGTTCCATGTATATAATGTCAAAAATATTTTACTGCCCAGATTACTGCTAAACACTCGAGCTCAACAGTACTATAGTTTTTCTCTGCAGGGAATAATGTTTTGATTGCATAAGCAATAACATATTTCTTTTTGTCTTTTATTTGGGCAAGTACAGCTCCAATGCTTTGATAAGAAGCATCTGTAAAGAGAATAAAAAGTACATTATAGGAGTATAGGGGGAGTAATTAATTGTTGTTTAAGCCAATTGAATATTTCTTCATGTTTATCGGTCTAATAAATTCTATATCTCGTTATAATAGTCTATGTAAAGGCACAGCCTTTTTAGCAAATTCTTCAATAAATCTTCTATAATAAGAAGCCAGTCCTATAAACGCTCTAAGTTGGGTAATGTTTTTGGGTGATGAAAGTTTTTCTAATTTTTCTACCTTTTGTAGGTCAGGTTTTATTCCATCAATTCCTACTATATATTCTAGAAATTGCATCTCATTCATACAAAAATGATATTTTTCAGAGTTGATTCATAGATTAGCCTTTATTATTAGTTTAAAAACTTCATTTAAATGTTCTAGATATTGTTCAAATGATTTGGAGTATATATTGATATCATCAATATATACCATGGCATATTTCCAAAGAACAGAATTAAGAACTATATCCATTAATCTTTGAAATGTTGAAGAAGTATTACAAAGTCTAAACGGCATAATATTGAACTCATAAAGACCAAATTTTGTAATAAAGGCCATTTTTTCTTTATCTTCTTCTTTTACTTGAACTTGCCAGTATTCAGAAGTTAAATCCAAAGAAGTAAGCCATTTAGCTTTTTCTAAATTATCTAACATTTTGTCTATGCAAGGAAGAGGGTATGTATCTTTCTTAGTTATAGAATTTAATTTTCTATAATCCACACAAAATCGAAGCTTTCCATTTTTTTTTTAACTAATACTACTGGCGAACTCCAAGAACTTTCAGATTTACGAATTATTCCATCTTTTTCCATCTTTTCTATTTCATTTTTAATATGCTCTTGTTCAATTGGAGATGCTTGGTATGCTTATTGTTTGATAGAAAAATGATTTTCAGTATAAACAGTATGGTAAATAACATTAGTTCTGAGAATTGAGTTGCAAAAATATTAGAATTTTCTTTTAAAAAATTTTTTATTTTTGTTTCTTGTTTAATATTTAAATTATTTTTTATAAATATTAATTTATTTTTAGTAATAAATATTTCTTTAGGCTTTTGTTTTACAACTTTTTGTTCAAGAACCATATCTTCTATTTTAGGTTTAACCATTTTGAAGATTTCATCTATATTGTTCCTAGGGTCTTCACTATTTTTGATCCTTATATTGGATATAAGTTAATTATTAACTATAGTGAAGTATTGGTTGGTTTAAACACGAGTTGAAAAATATCTACTATTATTCAAATCTTCTTCTTCTTCTAATTCTAATTCCAAATTATTATCTTTTGTTTGTTAATAAGAAATTTCACAAAGTATATTAGGGTCTTCAATCTTTTTTCAACAAGTTATAGGTATATATTCTAAATTATTTTCATCTCCAACTGTCATAAGGCCATTTTTAAAATCAATATTGGCTTTAGCTTGATCCAAGTATTTATTCCCAAGAACAACATTATATTTCTTCGATTCAGTTACAAGCATATCTACTTGTATTTCTAAATTTCCAAATTTTACAGGTACATTGAACACTTTTCTAAAAGGTATAGTTTTATTTTCTGTTATATCTATCATTCGAATATTTCCTAGTCCATCAATAGTTTTATTAATTTTATCAAGAAAATGTTTAGATATAACACATCCTTTAAAACCTGTATTAACGAGAATGTTTATTTCTTTTTCATAGACCATAGCTATAGTAAAGAGAGTATCTTTTACTTCATCTTTTTGTAATTCTTCTTCTTTGTTTACTTGAAAACCTTTAATCTCAATAATGTCATATTCATCTTCATCTTCTATCTATAATTTATAAATTTTGTCCAGGTTATTATCTATATCATTATTAATAAAATTATTATTATAATTAATATTATTATTGGTTGTATAAGTGTCTAAGATATTTAAATAGTCCGATATTATATTATCCAAGTCATTAGAGAGATTTGAATTTTCAACATGCTCACCCTCAGAAGATGTTCTTTCTAGTTTAAAAAGTTGTTATTACCAACATTGTTTTCTATATTATTTTGAGTTGTAATATAGTTATTATTCTTATAATAATTTAGGAATTTTGCATTTAGTTATTGTTATTATGAGGTTGGTTATTATTAGGATGAGGCTGATTATTGTTACTATTATTGTTTATCAGAGGCCAAAAGTTATTGTTTTGAGGTGGTCGGTTGTTGTTATTATTATAGTTGTTCATTGGTGGCTGTTGATAATTGTTGTAATTGTTATTATTTGGAGGATAATAATTGTTGTTATTATTGTTATAATTGTTATTTCGCCAGTTATTATTTGTTCGACAATTTCTTGTAACATGACCAATCCGATTACAATTTCTACAAGTTGAAGCCCTACATTGATAAGCAAGGTATCCTGGTTTTTGGCATTTTCAGCAATTATTATTGTTATTATTGTTATTATTGTTTCTATTCTGATTATTATTATTAAAGTTTTAAACAGGTCGTTGGTTATTCGAAGATTAAAATTGAGAAGGTTGAATAGAATTTGAAGGTTTTAGCTATTGGATTGCTTCAGATATTATTTCTTTAGCTTGAGTGGCTACAATAGTTTGGATATCTGTATGATTTGAAGAAGTGCCATAATATTGTAGTTGTAAAGATACAGACAACATAGAATAAGCTAATAGACTATTGCCTTTAGAGTAAGCCACTTCAATAGCTTTAGCTTTATTATATGTATCAAATAAACTTGCTAGCATAGCAGATTCAAGAGGAATATGAAATTCAGTTCTAAGTCCATCAATAAATTGTTGACATTTATCAGAGTCAGGATAGTTTTCTTCAGAGTCTACTTTCTTCTATAATTCTTCTAAAGCAAAGAAATAATCTTCTACAGTTTCACCAGGTTTTTGTTTTCTATTTCTTAATTCATAGAACTATTGATTTACTTTATATGAACTTCGAAATTGAGCTTCAAATAAAATACGAAATGATCTCCTCTTGGTGTTATTACTAGTTTCATTATTCTAATATTCAATTTGATCTCTTACTTTATAATACCAAGTAAGAGCGACACCTTTTAAATAGTTAGGAACTATTTCTAATACTCTGTCATCCAAAATTTTATTGGCTACAGCAGCAGCTTCAAATACATCTAACCAAGCAATAGAATTTTCATTTCCTCCTTTAAAAATAGGGTAGTCAACAATTTTTACTTCTTTAGTATCTTTTTTCTTTTCTAGAACAGCAGTTAATCCTTGCAAAAGTTTCATTAATATCTCTTGAGGATTTGTTTCATTATTTTCTTCATCTTGTTGTAGTCTATCTTCTGGTTCTATTATTGTTCTATGACCAAGTTCAATATTGTTTGTTGAAAGGTCATCTTGAATATTTATTCTAGAAGAGGTTCTACTTCCTCTTTCATTATTATTTTCTGTATTATTGTTAATTATTATTTGAGGTTGGTCTTCTTCATGTTGAGACATGTCTGGTATATGTAAGCTAGTGATAAATAGAGTATAATTTTGAAAACTGTGAGTTTCTTGCCAAGTGATAAATAAATCTGCAACAATAAGGTTAAATTCTTTTGTCAGATTGTGATTGTAATATTAAATAGATGTAATTAAATTTTCTAAAGCTCATTTAAATTCAGCACTTTCTGTATTTGCTTTTAAATATACTTTATGAAAGAGACAAGTAGTATTTCTGTTATATGCTTCTGTATTATAATTTTTAGAGAACCAAGACCAAAAGCGAATGAAATAATTAAAAATAGGTTTATTTTCTAAAGGATAGCAAATTAAACAACTAGGATCAAGTTTTCTTCTAAGTTTGCCTCGAGAAAAATATCTGCTAGTTTGGTGAACAAAATTGTGATCGTGAATTTGTTGTCGATAAGTTGTAATATTCATACAATATTTATCAAGGTAGGTGATAAATCCTTTTTGTTGATAAAATTTGAAAAGTTCCTTTATGCCATCACTAGAAAATGTTCCTTGTTGAATCTATTGTTCGTAGCGATTTAAGTTAAAAAATTCAGCAAAAGTATAAAAATGAACTTTTGGTTGTAGAGGTTGACGATTAGGTAGTTGATAGATAGTACCAGTTAGATTATCAGGATTAGGAGCTTCAAGATAATATATTGGAGTATAGGAAGTATTAAAGTCTTAATCAACTATTTCTTCTTGATCCCAATATCTTTTAGTTTTAGAAATTTTACTGTTAGCCCAAGAAAATCTACAAAATTGAGAGTATTCAAAAAGAAGAGAGGTTTGTTTAGGGGATAAAGGAATATTAGATTAAAAAGAAGAAATAGCAGGTTCAATTTGTTGAAAAAGTTCGAAGTATTGATTGTCGATAAGAATATATCCAAAGTATTTTCAAGCAAAATTAAATTTTTGTTAAGAGAAAGTTTGCATATATAGAAGAATTATAACACAATAACTTGAAAGTCAAAAGACCCAATTGATTGTAGTTATAAATAGAAGTGAGATATAAAAGAAAAATAATATCAGTTATAAAAACTTAACAAATATAAAAGTAATAAAGGATAATCAAAGTATAGATTTAAAATAGAGCAAAAATAATTTAAAAGTCAATAAGATATTGTAAGAAAGAAACAACTAATAAATAAAACAATTTGTAAGATAAAACAAAGAAAAGTAAATTAGAAATCACATATAAACACAAAGAGTTTTTGAGGTTCTGCCGTCGTCGCAAAACTGTAATATAGTAGACTTTGGTGGCAATAAACTATATTATTTAACTTAGTGTCAAGAGGGTAAGAAATGTGAATAATATGAAATAAATACTAAAAGAAACTAAAAATAAGAAAGACCAAAAGAGCTAAAAGTAAAAAAAATATATATCAAGTGTGTGTGTATAAACTAATAAAAATAACTAAAGAAAAATATAAAGAAACTAAAAATAAAAGGACAATAAAAGACAATAATTCCACTATAAAAGAAGATACCAGAATATAAAACATGTATAAAGTAAGTATTTCACAAGATAATATCAGTTTATTAAATAAAAAGAAGAAAGTACAGAAGACCAAGTTTAAGTCTCAGTCTTAGGCAAAAAGGCCGTGTTTATATATTTTTTACAATCCTAATAAATTACTAATTATAGTTTGTGTTATTATACTATTGTGTTAAAGAGACTTGTCAAAGAGACTTGTCAAAGAAACTTGCCAAAGAGACTTGTCAAAGAGACTTGTTAAAAATACTAGCTAATGAAACTAACCAAAGAAACTAACCAACAAGACTAGCCAAAGAGACTAACCAAAGAGACTAGCCAACAAGACTTAATTACTCGTTAACTATTGGTTTAAATAAAAAACTATAAAAACTATACTAATAAAACTAATACTAAGGATTCTATTGGTTAAATAAAATTTGTACTACACTTAATAGTTATACATAGATAAATAATAGAAATTTTAAAGTGCTAATATAATACTAATATAACAATATAAAAAAACTAGAATTGAAATAAAAACCAATAGAGAGGACTTGAAGATTTAAAACTAGCTTGGCAAGACCTAAGTTGAAAGTAGTGAGAATTATGAAGGTGCTACAAAACCAAACTGGACTGAAAACTGATAAACTAGTGAAATTGAATATCAAGATTCTACAATAGAGAATCTACTAACCTAGCTATCAGAGTCACATTAGAAGAAAAGAATTTGTGTTCTGGAAGCAGTACCAAGAGAAGAGAGTTTATAAAGCACTTAAAGCCTGGACAAGCCAACTCTACTAGGCCAACTATTTTGATAGCTTGAGGATATTGAGGAATTAGTTTAAGAAAAGTAAATATAAATATCCAGGTTTGTATAATTTCAAACTAATAAAAGGCAGGAGTATGTAATGAATATCTAATTAGAAAGTTGGTGCTTAAGAAATAACTATAGAATGGCAGCACCCCAAAAGATGGTATAAGATATATATACAGAATAGCTAGTCAATA